ATGTTGTTGTCCTTCAGAATAGCGGTCTGCTCAGCCTTGCAGTCTATCAACACAACACCAGAGGTTATTACCAGAACAGGCCTGGTGTCCACATCTTATAGGCCAATCTGATATTCCACTTGCTTTTTTGCTTGTTAATTTTGCTTTTTTCTTACGTTAAATCAATTACCTTGATCGTCTGATTGGGGAAATTATGAGGTCAACTCTTCTCCTGTTGGAGGTCACATTGGCTCAGGAAATGCAGCTAAAATGTAACCGTTTTTATGGATTATATTTTGTGAGTTTCCAGGGACTTCACCTTGTAGCGTTCCTATGGGAAATCCAGGGCCATCTTCCCATCCGGATGGAAAATAAGCAGGCAGACACCATGGACACCCACGGTGGACCCATGCTTACCTTAAGGAGGTGGAGGCCAGTGCTGTAGTGAGGCGACCAAGCCCCTACGATTGGATGCTGCCCGCATATCAATGGGGCATGCAGTCCCCCGGGGCAGCACCACCTGGCAGAGTGAAGCAGTCGGGCTGAACACATTAGCATATATTTCACTATGAGCTACACATTACATGGCTTCGCTATCTAGCTGTGCTCTCGTGCCAGATTGTACAGCAGTATTAGAAAAAGGAACCTCTGTGAAGAAGATGGCAAAGCTGTTGTCCTCATTTTGTCGGGTGACTTCTAATCCAAAAACTGCACGTCCTACTCAAGGTATGAAAGCGTTGGAGCCCAAATGCTTATAAATAGTAAACATGTCGGTTATATAGGTGTCATGGGTGATTTTTGGCCCATTTTGCTATCTCACAGCTCTAAGATATAAATCTCATGGGTTGTCAGGAACATTTTCTACATTTCTTATAAATGTATATATTTTTTTATTATAAATAAAGCCAGTAGAGGGCACAGTGGAGCAGTTCCACCTAGCTCCCCAAACCGGTCTAATCAGTCTCTGGCAGCCCACCTGCAACCCATTACCACCCCAGTTTGTTTGCAGAACCGAGAGGGTTCCTCAAGAGAAGTTCTGGAGTTAGTTATAAAGTCCATGCAGGAAAGAAACCGGGACAGTAGAGAGGAGAATCAAGGGCCTGGAGATAATGCTAGTCAGCATAACATTCTTAGGGAATGTTGGGGGGTGACTTACCTAGGAGAAGAGACACCTCCAATAACCCCCTCAATATTTCTGTTTTTTCCTGTATCTTTGCTAATAAATTCATCCTGAGGGGGGCTTTTCTGCATCTTCTGCGTCTCTGAAGCCTTTTTGTCAGTGATAACACTGTGCACTTAGTCTATCTGCCACAGTATATGTATCTCGGCACTTTTTGAACCCCGCTGTTGTAACAAAATGAGTTTCCCACTGGGACATATAAAGTACATGATTTTAACACTGCCTACATTTTTTGCTGTGTATGTCTGATTTTGATGAGAATACAATTTTCTTTTTATAACTGTGTGTAAATTTTTTTCAGTGATAATGGAATCTATCAAGTAAGTAGTGTTGACTGTCCATGACAGATCCTGTGAGATGTGCATGGCCAGTAATTTGAAGTTTCTTACTCTCTCTTCCACGGTCATGCTTTGGTTTGGAAGGCAGATATTACATTAAAGGGAGATACTGTACATTATCAAAGAGCTTTGGCGCCATCTTGGCCTGCTTACCTGTTACTGCAAGCATCAAGGTTTGAAGACTTTTTCCAAAGGCACTGTGCAACAACACAGTGCACTCTACTGTTTAAGTGGTACACTACTAACAAAATGTACTTTTTTTTGTAATTATTTTTTTCAGGAACCCATGAGAGGAGTTTGTTTTGGCATTATTAGTGTCAGAGACATATTCTTATAATCACCCTGTCTGGCCAAAGCCAGATATCTCTGCAGCACCACTATGTACAGATGAATCTTTTCTAGGTCAGCCAAGGTGCTAACAGAGATCAGGGGGGTCAAGTCTGACTTATTTCAACACATCTGGCTCATTTAAGTGGGAGTTCCGTCCATCAACATGTCTTAAATGAATCCCCGCTGAGCTACTGTACCATGGTAACTTAGGTGAGTGAATAAATCTGCTCCGGATCAGGTTAATTGTCTCGTTTAGTTAAGTGTGGGAAAAGATTCCCAAAAGATCGTTACATCGGACGAAATTCCACGCTCTCACTAATGTCATGTAATAAATATAATAAAGCCTATAAGAATCACGTTTCAGCATTCCAATTCATTCCAAAATAATTAAAATAAAAGTATTCCCATATTACAAAGGTCAAACATGAAATGCAATGACAAACTGAAAAAAAATCTTAAAATAATATGAACAGGAAAATATTTTTATATTTTGTTTAGTCACAGTCTACTTTGAAAGTTTATTAGTAAAAAGCAAAGATGGTTATTTGTGCAGAACATTTCATACGGATGCGACTGAAAGTATTTTACGGAGATCAAATAATACAGAATAACATTATACAGTAAGAATGACACGTGAACTCAACCCAGAAGGTTCCCCATCGGCTATGGGGATCAAACCAGGAACTTTCATGGTGTAAGGTGACAGCATAAACCACTGTACCACCATGCCAGGCACTTGTAACATTTACATAACTTGCACATTTAGTCTGTCTACAATTCTTTGCCAAGCCAATTCCCTGGCTTTATTTATGGCCACAGTAGGGATGTAAGCAATTAATCGATTATCAATTAATTGTCGATAAGAAATTACTCGATTAAAATTAATTAATTGCAATTAATTGTATTTTGAACCCATAATTCCTTGCCAGTCCTCGTGGGGCGCACTTGACGCCAGACGTACTTGACGCACACGCGGGAACACAAGCAAACAACAGATAAAACAACAGATAAAAC